CCGAAAATCGTGGCCAATGCTTCCTTTTCGATTGTCGAATAATTTCGCTCAGCTGCGTTTAAAGACCTTGAGGCATACGCTATCGGTTTTTCTGTCCCATCAGGAAATACATGTGACAAAACGGCCCCAACTCCGTAATTCGATGCATCTGTCGCTAAGATTAACGGCTTGGTCGGATCAAAATGAATGAGTAAGTCAGCTGATTGTAGGAGCTCTTTTGCATAGTCAAATGTCGCCTTTTGCTCTTCTCCCCACTCCCACTTGGTTCCCTGTCGTAGTAGTCTGTGTAGTGGCTCTAGGATCGTTGCCACATTTGGTAAGAATCTGTGATAGTAGTTTAGCATTCCAAGAAATGATCGTAATTGGTTAATGTTCTCTGGCTCTGGTGCTTTAGCGATGGCTTCGACTTTTTCAACCACCGGATGGATTCCGTTCTTGTTTATCCCATAGCCACAATATGTCACGTCTGATGCCATGAAACAACATTTGATCTTCTTCAATCTTAGGCCCGCTCCAGACAGTCGCGTCAACACTGCATTCAAATTGGATAGGTGATCTGCATCGTCTTTACCGCCTACAAGAATATCATCAACTCGCACAATGACACTTGGAATACCCTGAAGTAAGTTCTCTAGTGTCCGCTGGAATATACCTGGAGCCGAGGATATGCCAAAAGGTAAGCGATTATATTGGTAAAGTCCCTTATGAGTGTTAATTGTGGTGTACTTCTTGGACTCCTCATCTAGCCGCAACTGTTGGTAGGCTTGTGACATATCCAACTTAGTGAATTTTTGGCTTCCACTGAGGGTTGTAAGCAGATCTTCCGTCTTCGGTATTGGGTAGTTGTCTAGTTTCGAAGCTTGGTTAATTGTTGCTTTGTAATCACCACATACGCGGACCAATCCATCTGGTTTGGCTACTGTCACTATTGTCGAAGCCCAATCTGAAAATTCAACTGGAGATATGATTCCCTCTCGCTTTAGTCTCTCTAATTCTTGTTCCAGTGGAATTTTCATGGCAAAAGGAATTGGCCGAGCCTTCACAAATTTGGGTTGTGCATCTTGATTTGCATAGATTTTTGCTGTTGTTCCTTCCAAAGTACCTAATTCTTCGGTTAAAACCTCTTTGTGGGTTTCAAGAAATTCCTTCAATTCACTGCAAGGACGACATTCATTTATTTGGAATATTAAGGCCCAGTTCATTTTGATTACACGCAACCAATCTCGGCCAAACAGGTTTGGACCTTGACCTTTGACCACAAGTGCGAGTAGGTTATGCTGTTGGTTTTCATACCGTACTGGAACCATTACTTCGCCCGCTACTGGAATTCTCTCTCCGGTGTAGGTGCTAAGAACAACTAGCTGTTGTCTTGCGAATTGGTGCTAAATTCTTACATAGTTTGTTGTATGTTTCTTCACTTATGATTGTCTTAGTAGCTCCAGTGTCTAATTCCATTCTGATTGGCTGGCCTCCCAGTTCTACATCAATTGAAATCGATTTGTCTTTTTTTTCTCTCGAATATTGTACAGCGAATATTCTTCCACTTTGGCCCCCTGTGCATTAACCATTTTTACTTCCGTATCCTGTTCACGTTTCCCTCGACTTCCGGTTTCGCGTCGCTGTGGCAACTCTGCTTGCTTTGTTCCTCGCCTTGTGCTACGACAAACCTTTGCAATGTGGCCGATTTTATCGCAGTTAAAACATTTTAACTCGCGAAATTTACACGAATTTCCTGCGTGCTTCCCCCCACAACGATAACATTCGGAGCGACTTGATTGCTGGTTGTCCTCACGGTTGTTTACACGATGTATATTATTTGGGTCTTCGATAGAAACTCCTTTGGCGCCCAAATCTTCGACGTGTTTTATGCCGATTCCATAGCTAACGAAAGTTCAACTGCTTTCTTGTATGTTAGTTCAGGTTCTGCTAAGAGTCGTCTTTGAATCTTTTCGTTGTTGATACCACATACTAATCGATCCCGTATCATATCATCCAAGGAAGTGCCAAATTTGCAATGCTTGGTCATTCGACGTAATTCAGCCACATACTTAGCAATTCCTTCGTCAACACTGCGAATTCTGCCATGGAATTTAAATCTCTCTACAATGACGCTTGGTGTTGGAATAAAATGCTTTTCCAGCTCTTTGAAAATTTCTTTTATCTCCGTATCACCCGGTTTCTTTGGCTGTAGTAAATCTCGAATTAATGCGTATGTTTTCGAGCCACACACGCTGAGAAATATTGCCCGCTGCTCTTTGGCGTCTGTCACTTCATTTGCTAGGAAATATTGTTCCAGCCGTTCGGTGTATTGGGTCCACGTTTCTTCTACTTCATCAAACGGACTGACTTTTCCGTAGGTGGCCATATTTATACGTGTGTTTCGCTTAAAAAAAAATATCCTCGTCGCCAATGTTATAACCACCCAGTTCTGTCTCTCAGTACACCATGGCCCGAACCCCCAAAGGATCCTGGGATACTACACTGTGGAACCCCGTGAGTGATGTCAAGAGATGACGAAACAGACGTTCCAATACTGACAAATTGTGATGTGCCCGTTATTAGTACAGGTAGCTTTCGAACCACTGTGAAGTGGTACCTCAGGAGATGCGCCAATGTGTCTTAACTTGTTAAGCAATGTTGGGTGATGTACGCTATCAAATGCTTTCGATAAATCTAATAGTATAAGTGCAGTTACAGATTTCTGGTCCATATAGGCCGTATTCTGAGCTTGATTTTCGTTCATGTTGTTGTCCAACCTCTGGCACTAATTTTAATTTACAAAATACTATAGATTTTTGTACGCTGAATTCGATTTCAGTTGTTGTCACGCGTACTTACCTGCAGTTTTTTAGTATTTCGTGACCAAACTTCAAGAAATTTCGCTCGTTGGAATTCACGTATCCGCCATTTTCCCGCTGAATGCTTCATGTAATATTAAACTATTACGCTAGTTTCAGTCTCTTGGCAGTGGCATTTTCGCGCGGTTTTACGCAATTTGCATTGTTTTTTCTTTTCTCAATTGTTTTGAGCCATAAAATTATTATTATCAATACGAAAATGATGCCTTAAAGAAAATGAAAAAGCTCACCAACATTTGTACAACAGTCGCTTTGTTCACTATTCACGCAATAATTCATCAGCGTTGTTTCCTGGAAATTCTTGGCATCAGCCGTCAATCTCGTACCCAGAGCAATGCCTGTACGCGGGCTAGGATGGCATTGGCTCTGGAGAAGTTGAATTTTTCCTGTGCTGTGATTGGTTTAACGTCTATTAATCATGCATGCCGGCAAAGAACCGGAACTCCTATATTTAGGGGTTCCGGTTGTAAATTTCCCCAGAGCCAATGCCATCCTAGCCCGCGCACAGGCATTGCTCTGGGTACGAGATTGACCAGCCGTAGGTGTGTTTTGTCCTCTTTAATCTTTGAAGTTGACCAAAACCAAAGTGTAGAGTAAAAAGTATAAACAACGCGCTATTTACTTGTAAACTTTTCGATGCTTTATTCTTCAAATAATTCATAGTCGCTTTTGCATACACTGTCCGAAGAATCTGCATCAGATGATTTCCTTCGCATTTGTGTTTTCATCGTGCTTGTTTTGGCAATTTGCGCAACGACAACATTCAGTGCATTTTAAGCCCGCTTTTAGGCAGGAACAGCGCTGTGTACCACAACCCGCGTCTTGCACTTGCAATCTACATACTCACGAAGTGAATCAGGTGCAGAGGGACGAGTCATCCAGATAATCTCTAGTTGGCCATCTGATAATCTCCAACCATTACCTACTGGGGGGAAAAGTTGTGACTGGGGGTATAAACGACTCCATGCAGCTGCTTGAAAATTTGCTCACTCGATGTGTTTCAGCAGGCTATCACAGTTCGGAGGAAGAGTCTCATCTGAACATTTCTGCTTTGAAGACTGGATCGGCACTCATCTACAGTCTTAGCTTTGAAGATTTGTCGCCGTACAGCAAACAAACAAATACATTCAGTGACATGACAAGATCCTGCGATAGAGTGGACGATTTTCTCAGATCGCAGAAACTTTGAACGAAGTCTGGATTGTTCTGAAGTATCTTACATGGCTTCGCTTTTCTTTTTCCGCAAAAGGCACTTGTGGAGTCACACCCTATCAAAATAGAAAAAATCGTTCTTTTAGTTTTTGTAATTCCTTACCACGTACACCTAACATATGCAATATACAAAAAATCTGTGTACCTGAAAAGGAATGAAATCCCAGCAAGCAAGAGCATAGCTCTTGTCCAAGTACGTCAGATATGGCTGATCAGTATCTATAATTCGAAATCTGTTACCTGTCCCTACCATCACGAGAAATTTCTTGCCAATCGTCCTGCACATGGCAATACAAAGCAAAAACACGTCCGTGTCCGGGGTTTTAACAATGATGGTGTCATGAGTTTCAGCTGCACAATTTGAATGAAGAAGTAAACATGTATCGTTTTCTTCGTGATCACATTGAAGTTCAATAATAACGTACTCCAATAATCACACAGAAATGCGATCAACGATTCTTAATTTTTTTCACAGCTCATATATTTCTTCCACTGTTTGGGGACGCTTTGGTCCTTGATAAGTATGTAAACTCTCTGGACACCTTCCGACGCCCTCCTTCTACGCTCGGCATTTTATATCCTTACTTCAGGGTATCTACCAGCGACAAAATCTAGCCTGGTAGCTTTCCATTGTAGTGCTACAATCTTGGACAAAACCCTTGAGACCATTTCAGCTAATATTACAAAGTTATTGAACATTGACAAAACAAACTTTGTTCCCCCCTCCCCCCAGTTCAATGTTGTGAACAACGCCGAAACAACTTTTGGTAATATACCATGATACAAGCTCAACATTGAGTTGAGGGAGCGGGGGTTTAAGAATGGCAACATGATTCAACATGGAGTTTATCGTAAAAATACGCGAATTTTCTATGGGGGGAAAATAGTCTCAACCAGTTATGTCCAAGATTGTCTGAATATGGGAATTTTACAAGCATACCAATTGTTTGAGAGTTATGGTTAGAAAGGCAGATAAGTTAGTGTTGCGATGGAGGAAAAATTATTAAATATATGTTACACTGCAAGGACTGTAGGTAACCGAAATTTTTATCCATATTAGCAATCGTTCCAGGCGATGCAAAATCTATATTTATATTGTAAGTAAAGGGAAATTAATTAGGAGGACATAATACACGTCTGGATGAAAGTAAATTATTTATTGGATTTTTGGTAAACTTGATTTCTACCTTATTCCATATCATCATTGAAAGCTTCGTATAGTGAATGTAAAAACATATCCAACACTAAAAGTAACCGAATTGGTCAAACTTGATAACATGGTTTGCTCAGAAAACGCCTATTCACTCTAACGTGCGAACGTTCCCTGGTCCATTTGAACCAATTAGCTACTGCTACAGAACATAGCTACAGAGTTTCAAAAGAAATGGAATCATGGACATCCTAAACGTTTTCTACACAGCTATTTTCATATAGGCAATCGGCACTTTTCACAAGTTATTATAGTATGGCGACCCCCCACGAGGAACAAAGAGTCGCCTGTACAATGTTCAAATTGGCCATAGTAAAGAAATACGAGTATATCGCCATGACTTTTGGAGCATAAACCTTTTATAATAATATATAAGAACATTTCAAACGATTAACGAAAAGATTTGATGTGATATTGACGGTAAACGGGGATAGCAGCAAGATATTATAGTAAATGATAGGTCTAGTCATTGTTTTAAATTGGAGTCGCCGTTTACCGTTCTAATGGCCTGTTTACCGTTCTTTTATCAAACCACGATAAAGATTATACTTGGTTAACCGTCATATAAAAAATTTCGGGTTAAATTATAAGTTTTAAAAGCAAGTTTGAGGCTGATAAACTATAGAACAAATGACGTCATCTTATAAAAAATACCTATACACAGCAACACTTGAACGTGATATTTACATAATTGAATTAAATCCCAATGCATTTGTCTCGACCTCTATGCCCTAGTAACATGATATTACTCGCTTCTGGCAGTAGAAAACTATATATTTTAGATGAAACAACAAGAAAAATTCATGCGTTTCATGCGTATATTTTAGGATGTGACAAGTTCGAATAGGCATTATTTTGCTCACTTTTCATGCAAACGAATATATATATTGCTCGAAAAACAAGAAGTAACGTGTATATCCGTCTTTCAGACTACTGGAGTGGAAGAAAATTAAAAAAGATTGAGTTATAATGCACAATTAAATTCAGTGTGCTTCAGACAGTCTGAATATGGGAATTTTACAAGCATACCAATTGTTTGAGAGTTATGGTTAGAAAGGCAGATAAGTTAGTGTTGCGATGGAGGAAAAATTATTAAATATATGTTACACTGCAAGGACTGTAGGTAACCGAAATTTTTATCCATATTAGCAATCGTTCCAGGCGATGCAAAATCTATATTTATATTGTAAGTAAAGGGAAATAAATTAGGAGGACATAATACACGTCTGGATGAAAGTAAATTATTTATTGGATTTTTGGTAAACTTGATTTCTACCTTATTCCATATCATCATTGAAAGCTTCGTATAGTGAATGTAAAAACATATCCAACACTAAAAGTAACCGAATTGGTCAAACTTGATAACATGGTTTGCTCAGAAAACGCCTATTCACTCTAACGTGCGAACGTTCCCTGGTCCATTTGAACCAATTAGCTACTGCTATAGAACATAGCTACAGAGTTTAAAAAGAAATGGAATCATGGACATGCTAAACGTTGTCTACACACTATTTTTATATAGGCAATCGGCACTTTTCACAGGTTATTATAGTATGGCGACCCCCCACGAGGAACAAAGAGTCGCCTGTACAATGTTCAAATTGGCCATAGTAAAGAAATACGAGTATATCGCCATGACTTTTGGAGCATAAACCTTTTATAATAATATATAAGAACATTTCAAACGATTAACGAAAAGATTTGATGTGATATTAACGGTAAACGGGGATAGCAGCAAGATATTATAGTAAATGATAGGTCTAGTCATTGTTTTAAATTGGAGTCGCCGTTTACCGTTCTAATGGCCTGTTTACCGTTCTTTTATCAAACCACGATAAAGATTATACTTGGTTAACCGTCATATAAAAAATTTCGGGTTAAATTATAAGTTTTAAAAGCAAGTTTGAGGCTGATAAACTATAGAACAAATGACGTCATCTTATAAAAAATACCTATATACAGCAACACTTGAACGTGATATTTACATGCATAATTGAATTAAATCCCAATGCATGTGTCTCGACCTCTATGCCCTAGTAACATGATATTACTCGCTTCTGGCAGTAGAAAACTATATATTTAGATGAAACAACAAGAAAAATTCATGCGTTTCATGCATATATTTTATGATGTGACAAGTTCGAATAGGCATTATTTTGCTCGCTTTTCATGCAAACGAATATATATATTACTCGAAAAACAAGAAGTAACGTGTATATCCATCTTTCAGACTACTGGAGTGGAAGAAAATTAAAAAAGATTGAGTTATAATGCACAATTAAATTCAGTGTGCTTCAGACAATCTTGGACAAAACCCTTGAGACCATTTCAGCTAATACTACAAAGTTATTGAACATTGACAAAACAAACTTTGTCCCCCCCTCTGTCCCCCCCAGTTCAATGTTGTGAACAACGCCGAAACAACTTTTGGTAATATACCATGATACAAGCTCAACATTGAGTTGGGGGAGCGGGGGTATAAGATTGGCAACATGATTCAACATGGAGTTTATCATAAAAATACGCGAATTTTCTATGGGGGGAAAATAGTCTCAACCAGTTATGTCCAAGATTGTAGCTAATATCTGGCTTAATTACACGCTCTGTCGATAATAAGATTTTAACCAATAAAGTAAATCAGGTCAATGGAGTACTTATTATAAGCAGTCTTGCCAACACAAGCAACAATGGAAATTCATTTACCATAATAATATATTACATTTGATCATCTCAATGAAAGTAAAATCCATTTTAATAAAGTGGGAACAAGCATGATGGCATGCAACTTCAGTAAATATATTTATAATAGAAGGACTAGCATAATGGGATTAATGCATGCCTTGTGGGAGTCTTCATTTATACGAATTAATGCTGATGAGCAGACAAGTGTAAATAGTGATTTGCTATTTAGTATTGAAGAAACCAATCATTTTAAGATAGATAGATAGATAGATAGATAGATTTTATTTTGACACGCTAACTACGTCAATTAAAAATATTGATTTCCGCGAAGGGCGTGTGTTCAATAGTTATTATATATAAGTGTTGATATGACTCTTATGGAATCAAATAAAAGAAAATAGAAATAATCTAACTGTCCCAATTGATAAAATTGACAATATAGACAACTAACAAAACATATAGATAACTATTTACAATAAAAGATTTATATATGTATGTATAAATATATTAATTAGTAACATGAGCAGCAATTTTTCTTTCAAATAGAGACTGGGACCTAATTCCTCTGATTTCGTTAGGCACTGCGTTCCATATTTTTGCCCCATTAAACATAAAACTCTTTTTCATGCTATTTGTGCGGGGCTGTGGCAATACGAGTGTTGTTTCATTGTCACGGAGACAGTAATGTGTATTCTCATTCTTGTAGGTAAAAAGGTCTGTTAGGCTTTTAGGCCCAGACATATTCAAAATTTTGAACATTAATTTTGCCTTAGCTTTAGTTCTTTGTACTTTTAGTGTCTCCCATCCTAACGAATTTAATGCAATTTGGGCATTAACTTCGTTACCCATGTCCATAATAATTCGAGCGCATCTATTTTGAAGCTTTTGTAATCGTTGTGATTGAGTTTCACCAAAAATGTCCCACACTTCACAACAATAAGTAAAGTATGGTTGTACAATTGCATTAAATATAGAAACAAGTGTATCACGGTCAACAAATTCTTTTAGTTTTCTAATAACAGAAATGGCCGATGTGATTTTCTTACAGATACTCTCAGTGTTACTTTTCCAAGAGAGATGCGGATCAACTATTACTCCTAGTGTCTTGCATTCCTTCACTTGTTTAATTGGTCTGTTTTCAATCATTATGTTTAAATTTGAATCTGAAACAGTATGCACTAGAGATCTTGATCCTATGAGCATAAATTCAGCTTTGGCAATGTTTAGACTCAGTTTGTTCGCGTTTAACCACATTCTGAGGTTTTCCAAATCAGAGTTCACTGCATTTTCAACATCATCAATTGTACCACCGGAAGCAGTGAGGTTTGTGTCATCTGCAAAAAGTCTTGGCTTTGTCCTATTTAGGCTTTCAGATAAATCATTTATATATATTAGGAAAAATAAAGGACCTAAAATGGAGCCTTGAGGAACACCACACCTAACTTTGTGTTCAGGCGAGACAACACCATTTACTTGGCATTTTTGGGTGCGATCAGTAAGATACGATCTCAGCAACAAATGTGCCTTATCCTTAATACCGTAAATTTGCATTTTCTCAAGTAGAATTTCGTGATCTACGGTGTCAAATGCTTTTTTTAGATCTATAAAAACTACTAAGTTAAACATTTTTCGATCCATGTTAACATACCAACTATTAGTTAAATCTAAAAGGGACGTAGCGGTGGAGTGAAACTTTCGAAAGCCAAATTGGTTATCAGAGAGAATTTCGTTTTTAGTTAAATAATCATACAGCTGGTCATACAGTAATCTTTCCATGATTTTGCTTATGACTGGTAGTATCGATATTGGCCTGTAATTACCAGGAATATTACGATGACCACTTTTATAAAGAGGTAAAACTCTAGCTACTTTCCAATCATCTGGAAAGCTGCAAAGAGTAATACTTTGATTAAAAATATATGTAAGTGTAGCAGAAATAACCAGTGATGCTAATTTAAGAATTTTACTGGAAATTTTGTCGATACCACATGCTTTTTTACAAGACAGCCCTCTTAAAAGATCAAAAATTTTGTTTACCGCAATTGGTGTTAATGCAGTGAACTTGGATTCAGAACTTTTAGTATACTTTTGAAAGTCACAGCTAGATTCATCCAACTTGCTTGCCAAGTTTGGTCCAACATTTGCAAAGAATTCGTTTAACCCTTCTGCAATCTCTGTAGGATTTGTTAATTTAGATTCATTAATAATTAGTTCATTTATAATCGTGGGTTTCTTACCCTTTCCGATCAAACTATTAATAGTTTTCCAAGCTTGCTTTGGATTGCACTTTTGGTTAGCAATCTTTGTAGAATAATAGTCTGTTTTGGCTTTCCTTAATTCGGTATTTGTTTGATTTCTGGCTTTTTTATAAATGAGCCAATCAGATTCTTGTTTAGTAATAATTCCTTTTCTTTTCAATTTATCTCTTTCGGTTATGAGCATTTTAATTTTGCTCGTAAACCAAGGGACACTTTTTGATTTTATCTTTTTGTTTTGAAGTGGTGCATGTTTATCCAGGACCTCTAAAAAGACTTTTTTCCACATCTCCCACATAGTATTTGGATTATCTGGAAAATAATAAATATGATCCCAGGGTTGATTTTGCAAATCCTTAAGAAAGTTTAGATCATTGAATTTCTTCATGTTTCTAATTTCAACAATATTGACATGACGTTTTACTGAAAAATTTATTTTTCTTATTGCGAAAATCATGCTATGATCACTAATTCCAGTATGTATTACCCCAGAGTCAGAAATTTTCTCTGGTCTATTTGTAATAAAATGATCAATAAGGGTGGATGTTGATGATGTTATGCGCGTAGCTTCATCAATCATTTGTGACAATTGATAAAGTTCATATATGGATTTGAGTTTTTTAGTTAATTGGTCTGGATTTGTCTTAAGTAAATCACAGTTTAAATCACCAAGAATGTGAATTTCTTTGTTTTCATCATCTATTTTTTTAATGAGACTTTCTAAATCGGTAAAAAATTCGGATGACGGATTTGGAGGTCTATAAGCTGTTACTACGACGAATGGCTGACTTTGAGGCTTAATGATTTCAATACAAACAGCTTCAAGATTTTTAGGCACTAGATCATGTCTAATCCGATAATTAATGGAGCTACGCAAATACATGCAAACACCACCTCCACTTCTTGATCTATCTTTTCGGATGATATCATAACCAT